TAAAGTAGCTAAGTATTTTGTATTTCGAATAATACATCGATATACATTATCATCCATAAATTCAAAAACAATTTTTTCGTATATCAGAAACCAAAACCGTAGAGAAGCTTTCAAAAGTGCATTTTAAAAAGATTGAGCTATTTATTTTTCAGTTTTGTTTTTATGCTATTTTGTTCTTAAATTACATAAAAACTAGCGTTTTTCAATATTTTTATTTTATTTTGAAGCGTTGTAGTTTGATAAAACATTATGGGAAAAAATTAATGAAAAAATATTTAAACATAAGATCTTTTAATAATAATTTCTAATTTTAAGATAATTTCTTTTAATTGGTACGAGATGATTTTTCATAATAATATCGAATTTTTTTGTAATTTTGTAAAAACTCATTTTTATAAAAAAATATTTTTTTATTTTGAAATTAATCGATTTACAGAAAAAAGAAAAAAAAGAAAAATTTTTTTCTTTTAATATTCTAGATTTATATAAATTTTGCAAAAATTTTTTAGGAACTCTTTTATAAATTTAAGTCTGATACACATACTTGAAAAATATAGGCAATAGGAAAACAGGCAATATGAAAAATGGAAAATTTTTTCATTACTACTTTCCATGGTAAAAATTTTCATTTTTCACACTTCATTTTAGGAAAAATGATCGCTATAGTTATAAGGTTGGGTTGTTTTACCATTCAATATAAACTTGAACTCACTTTCTTATTTTCTTTGTTCTTACTCTTTTATTTTTATGTTTATCTATATCTTATATTCTATTAATTAGATAAATCATATTATCACATATAGTTTATCCGAAGATAGACCTTAAGAATCGTATTGTTGAAAATATCGCACAGGAAAATGTACAAAAATATCATAGTATGTAATAGATTTCTCTAGTACTTTCTGCGATACTTATCAAAAGGCTTTCAAACTCTGAAAGAATTTGGAAACTGAATTCGGGAATTGAGAGAATAAGACAGTTTAGGTGGCCAAACAAAACGCCGTTTGGCGGCGAGCGCGAGCGGCGACGGTATGGGTCGCAACGGCAACACCGGACGGCGCGACGACCGACCAATCAGCGCGCGGAACGTAGTCCTGGCGCGCAAGGCCAGCTAAGCGAAACTCATTTTACTACGCGCTCGTACGACGACCGGCACGTGCGGCGGCGGCGGCGGCAGCGGCGGCGGCGGCGGCGGCGACGACGACCGTTCCCTACCATCCAGACCCTACTTCCCTCGCGCAGTAACACAGTAACCGTTGCGCGCGCGGCGTTTCGCTCTCACGCCTCTCACGCTCTCGGCTCTACTCCATCACCGCGCACGGCACGCACACGTCCACTGCACCGTCCTCACGGGTACATCCACGCGTCACGAGAATCCGTTAATAGCAGACCGATCGCCATGGCAGAGGAATATCTATACGGTAAATATGAACGGCCATGATGCCACGTTCGCTGTGGCTTTGCTATTTCGCGACGCACGCGGATACTTACGTACCGTCGGCCATTTAAGCGCGAAGGGGATGTACTGGCCGGAGACGCCGGCTAGGCTTTCGGCCATTGCGATACGGCAGACTCTCGACTCCCGTTGCAATCTCCGGAGCCGGCGTGCTTGGTCACCGGCCGGTGCCGCTCTCTCGCCACGAATACGACTTTAGTGTCTTCTGTGTTCAGGAATCACCCTAGAGGGACCGAATGCAAGCGAGGTATGGGACCCGGAGCACAAGAACGATGATTCGGACGGCGCGGCCCAAGACATCGGCGCTGATCAGAAGCTCATTATAAAAATGGTGAGTGTGCCACGTTTCGGCAACCGATGGAATGACAACAGAGACGTCGCCGTCGCTCCATGTCTAATGAGTTTTTCCCCGCCTACGGTTCCCCGCTGTGTCTCCACGAGCTAGCATCTTTCGGGCGCCTTCCTTCATTCGTGGTGGGGCGTGCAGTTTCCATCGCACTCATCGGCTATCGTTTCTTCTATCATGCCGCGTGTTTCCGCATACCGCATTTTCAATTGTTGTTCAGTTAGCATAATTTAGGAACACCTCGATTTTTTTCTTTGTAGCGCTCCTCATCACCATCGCCAATTAACATTTCGCGCGCGAAACTCAATCGCCAATTTCAAGTGGTCTCGTTCAATTCTTTAATCGAGAAAGATAACCTGGGTGACAGTCGGCCACATTGCTCCGATTTTTTTGCTTTTCCTAAGATCGCAAACATTCCTCTATGTCTGAATCATTCAATGATTGTTCCTTAAAGTAAATAAGAAGGCATCTTTTTACAAAGTCGCTCGTGGCGTTGTGACGATGATTGATTAGTTTCCCGTTATAATTGCCAACTCGTCTCTTAACGAATAGGTACCGGGAAAGTTTGATGCTTGGCGCCATTTTTTCACAACGGCTTCGCCCTTCCCCCCCACTTTATATTAGATAAGACAGGGCTCTATTATATGTCGTGAGATACAAATTTTAACGGAAATTTAATTTGCGGTTAAACTTGATTTGATTCGATTGAACAAGGAATCGAAATTCTTCTCGTGAATCACAATATGCGAATTAAATTAATAGAATTTGATAGTGTACCGGTTATCGAAATATTACGGCACACAAAGTTAATATAACAAAGTAGATATTAATAAACATTCTCATCGCGAGTAGTTTTATAAAAATTATATGTAGTACATTATGTTTTATCGTAACATTAATTTTTAACTTTTTAAAAGTTTATAATGACAAATATAATTTTTTATTACATTACCTTAATCATTTCTTCTGTTATATGTGTGCGCTTTGTGCATTTCATTGAATTTGAATATTACAGCATTTTTTATCTCTTTATTCTTTTTTTTTATAACAATATAATAATATTTGTGTATAATTATTTTTTCGCAGGTAGGAGGTCGATTCTGTATCTTCAAACAAAGTGAAAAAATTACAAAAGTAAGCAAATTTACTAGGTGTTGACCAATGAAATTATCAGTATTCTAGTAAATTCGCTCACTTTTGTAATTTTCACTTCGTTTTAAGATACAGAATTGATTCTAAGCTGTTTTCTAACCTAGAAAAAAATTGATCAAACTTTATAAACGTATGACAAAAATATTTGAGATAAAATGCATTTAATGGATTTGTTTTTTATTCCTATATTGTCTAAACTGGCTCAGACAGTGCAATAAGTTAGAGTGAAACAAACTTATATTTGTTTCACTTCAACTTATTGCATCAGTTCAGATAGTGCAGGAATAAAGAACAAACCTAAAAATAATACAATTATAAGAAATTTAAATATACAATTTTCCTAGTCTTTTGTTTATAAGAATTATTGACTGATTGTTACAACATTGAGTTTGAATTTTGTATAAAATCTTAGATATTTGTATGAATTAATAACCAAAATAATTTTTATTAGTATCCAATATTATATTTTATTATTTATTCTACATTTATATAAATAATTTCTTGTATAATGTTTATTGTAAACTTTTTAGGCTCTTCTAGGACCGGAGGCTAAACCTGGAGAGCTTAACGTCTTGCAGGTTGAAGCAATGGGATTAAAAGGACCTATAAAAACTCCAATTGCCTTGTTGGAGATGGGAAAAACGGCGCAGATTATTCTCGATCTAAGTTTCCCAGATCCTCCAGTCACGTTCACGTTGGTTAAGGGCAGTGGACCGGTTCATATAGTAGGACACAATCTTCTTGGTATGTATCTCTACATCAAAAACTAAGTAATTTTACTTAGTAAATTTATAACTAACATCTGAAAAATTGTATTGTCTTATTATCTTGAGATTAAGTTCATGTTTTAAATACTATATTTCTTTTACACACACATACACACACACACACACACACACATACACACAATATTTTTCTATTACAAATTCTTATTGTCGCATATGCAGAATGAGAATTAAACTCTGATGTTTTGCTTGTCAAGCAACTATTCTAATATTTAGAATTATATTCAATATCTCTGTGTATGATTTCAGATTATTAAATATTATATGTGCTACTCATATACAATTCAATATAAAAATTCATCACAAATTATAAAAATCAATGCCTTAAACGATCTTAAATGCTTGTATGATAAAATATTATATCACATAGACATCTTCTAACAAACTCATCTTAAAAATATACATTATTACTAAACTTTAGCGACTATTTTCTTAAATTATTAATAAAAAGTTAATATTTTTTTTATTTTATATTTATAAAAGTTTATCAAGGTATACCAAGCAAAGATGATAAAGTTAAAATCGAATATCTTCTTAAAAAACATAAAGAAAAATAATTTTAATAAAAATATATTCTATTCTATGTTAAAAGTGTACATATATTATATGTTTTATTATCTGTATTTTTTATCTGCTTTTGCTGTTGTACATGTTAGTCTTTTTGAATTATACACATAACATTTTGAAATATAAAATAAATTTTATACA